AATTACTCCAGGTGTCTTAATTAGCAATGATTAACTGTAATCATTTTGCTCAGTTCACCTTCTCTAAAAATAAACGTTCAAGAAATGAAAAACAGCTTTTAAAAAAGCATTCAAGAGATCCAAAGTTTTACAATTTTAAAAGTTATATTTATTTTTGTAAAACATTTAGAGAACATTTTGATATGTATCCATAAGCCATAGAATTCCCAGATTTTACTATTAACATGACGTAAAGTCATGATTTTATTAAAGACACGGAGGCGAGTATTATGCATAACTCTTTCTTTATTCCCTCAGCAGCAAAGATAGAGGAATATAAATATTATCAAAATGAAAGAAAAAACTGTATAGGCACACAGGCAACCAATCACATAACAGAGGAAGTGACTATAAAAGGCCTGTGTCTCCCACAATCCCCCTCTTTCTTGCGAAAACCGAAGACAAGGAAAACACGAAACGATATCACATCCGGCAAGAACAGGGAAACCGTAACCAAACGATAACTTCAAGCTAAAAGAGAGAGAGAAATATGGTAATAACCAAACTCCAAACTGAAGACTTACCCAGCAACTATGTTAATGGCTTCTTAGGAGTTCAATCTAAAACATAGAAAAAAAAAGAAAACTATTAGTATATAGTCATATAAACTAAACCTCAACATTATAATAAAACAGATATGTAGGACACAATAAATAGACCAAACAATAACATACCTGAAAATCCAAACGCATCTCATCTAATGACCCAACAACGGGAGGGCGGGTGGGAAAAAAAATACTCGCCTCCGTGTCTTTAATAAAATCATGACTTTATGTCATGTTAATAGTAAAATCTAGGAATTTTATTAAAGACACGGAGGCTCATATTATGCAAGTTTAAAGTTGTGCTATCACTTGAGATGCGATGTGGTTGATCGGTCTGAAATAAAAATCACGGAAGGTCGACTCCCGAGACCAATCCGCAGCCCACAGAATGTCCTCCAGATGACAGACGACTGTAGAAGCTTTCAACGCCATGGCTCCACGCACCGAATGAGGCATGAAGATAGAAGTGTCAACGCCAGCTAAAGATAGAAGCCAGCGTATCCAACGAGCCAAAGTCGGGGTGGATACAGGCCGATATGGAGACCTAAATTATATGAATAATGGATGTAAGTCCAAGGAACGAAGAGGTCGTGTAATATCCAGATATACCGTTAGACACTCCACCGGGCATAATGCCGGATTACCTGAAAATCTAGGGTATACAAAAGATTTGGATGCTGATTTAGTCCTTCTGGATTTGTTGAACGAAATACCCTCAGGGGTAAAAGTAATAGCGTCCCAATCAAGGGCCCTGATATCAGACACTTTCTTACATGAAATTAAGCAGAGAAGCATCACCAACTTAGAAGAGATCTGTTTAAGCGTCAAGTCCTGGTTCAGGTACCATGACGCCAAAAATTGTAACACCACATTGACGCAGAAAAATGAGTCTTAGAAGGTCGAGCGAGGCGAATACCTTTGAGAAAGCGACACACAAAAGGATTTTTGCCTATGGACGAACCATCCAATCCTCTATGTCCAGCCGAAATTGCTGAGCAGAAAAGGTTGATAGTGCGATACGCCTCACCCGAATCGAACATGTGTGTGAGGAACTCCAAGATCATATGGAGAGGGGCAGATATGGGATCCATTGACCGTTCCATGCACCAACCAGACCATGAATTCCATGAAGCTCGATAGGCTGCTCTTGTACCTGGAGCCCAGGTGTTATCGAGGAGCAGGAGAGTCGCTCGTGGAACGTTTGGGACATTCCAAGGTCTTATGAAAGGAGCCACGCTATCAGAGGCAATTGGTTCTGTAATACCAGGCCGTGTGAGTTCCCATTTGGATCCAGAAAGAGTTCTTGAAAACCCGGGATCAGCCGTGGATAATCAGGCGTGGGAACCATGGCTGAGATCTCCACAGAGAGGTGATCAGTGTCAGGGAACAATCGTGACGAACCAGCTTCGAGATTGAACGGAGGAAAGGCATACAGGCAGCCCATCGGTCACTCCTGAAGGAAAGCGTCCGTTGCCATCACTGCCGGGTCTGGTCTCCAACTGTAAAACTCCGGTAACTGGGTGTTCAGACGGGATGCGAACAAGTCCATTACGAACTGTCTCCATAACCTATTTAGGCCTCGAAACACTGAAATGTGCAAGTGCCAATCTCCCGAGTCTCTCAAATGTCTCGATTTCCAATCCACCCCCGAATTGTCCAGGCCCTGGATGTGTTCTGCCCTCACGGAGACATTGTTGTACAAACAAAATTGCCAAAAACTTTCGCCAATAGAGCCAACATCTTGGATTTGGTTCCCCCCAAGTGGTTTATATAACGTACTGCCGATACGTTGTCCATCTTGAGGAGAAAACAGAAATTCGCCCGACCTGGGGTAAAGCTGCGAATCGCGAAGGCCCCTGCCTAGAGTTCCAGGCAGTTGATGTGCAAGGATCTCTCTATCTCGGACCATCTGCCTCCTGTGGAAACGTTGCCACAACGTGCCCCCCAGCCGTGTAAGCTGGCGTCGGATTCTATCACCACGTCCGGTATAGAACCGAAAATGGCTCTTCCATTCCAAGCTTCCATGTGAGCTAACTACCACACCAGTTCGTCTCTGGATTCCTCGTCCAGTCATTTTCTGGACTCGTAGGAATGACCCGAGCGGAGGTGCGATCCCTTGAGCCGTCGGAGGGCTCGGTAGTGTAACGGACCTGGAAAGATTGCTTGAATGGAGGCTGCGAGTAGAACGATAATCCTTGCCAATTGTCTGATTGATAAATCTGACACTCGAAGAGCTCACCGAAGCTCCTTCTTAATGGCTTTCATCTTGGATTCCAGGAGATACAGGAATTGTTGAATGGAATGCACCTTGAACCCCAAGAATTCCATCAATTGAGCTGGGGTCAGGATCGACTTGTCCCAGTTGATCATGAATCCTAAGTTCTGGAGCAGATTGACTGTCCATTCCACGTGGATTTGTCGTCCAGATAAATAATTAGGCGTACGCCACGCGTACGGAGGAAGGACACCACCAGTCTCATGATCTTGGTGAAGCACCAAGGAGCTGAGGATAGACCGAACGGTAGACATGTGAAACGCCAACGTTTCCCGTGCCAGGTAAAGTGGAGGAAGTCTCTGTGTTCCATCGCAATGGGAACAGTGAAATACACATCCTTTAGATCTAGTTTTGCCAACCAGTCTGACGCACGGAGACGGTCTCTGAGGCAATGGATGCCCTCCATCTGAAAATGCTGATAACGGAGGAATGCATTGAGGGGTCGGAAATTTATCACTGGTCGTACACCACCTCCTTTCCTTGGTACTAGAAAGAGGTTGCCCGTAAAGCCTGGTGCGGAAAACGGAAACTCCTCTATCGCACCCTTCGTAAGCATCTCTTTGATTTCCTTCGAAATCAACTCCTCCTGTTCCGAGGGAAGGGACAATTCTCTGGGGACAGAAAGTTGGACAAGCAGAGAGACAAAATCGAGGTGATAACCCTTTACCAACTGGAGCACCCAGGTATCTGAGGTCACAGCCGCCCAACCCCGGCAGAACAAGGCCAACCTGCCCGCCACCCGTTCTGGAGCGAGAAGGGAAGAATGGGTCCTCACCATAAGGACGTCTGCCCAAAGTGGCACCATGGGGGTATCTGGAACCCCATGACCTTCCTCTAGCTGGGAAGAAGGGAGGCGTCCTCGGATCCTGGAATCCCCGGGAGGGAAAGAAGGAACCTCTGCACGGCCGGGTGGACGGTTCCTACTATGCCCGGCCCCTCCAAAAACCTTAGGCGCAAACACGCGCTTCATGTTGGCCTGGGCTTTATCAATGGCCGTAAAGGTTTTAACGTAGGACCCGAGGTCCTTCACGAAGGTGTCACCAAACAACATCCCATCGTTGGATGAGCTCGGCTCTGCCACAGTCATGGTGGCTAGTTTGGGGTCAATTTTCAGCAAAATCGCTTTACGTCTCTCAGCCGACATAGCGGTGTTCGCATTATCCAGGAGACAAATGGCCTGTTGGACCCATCCTATGGCTACATCTACGTCCAGGGCAGAGTCGCCGGCTTTAGCGGCATCCAGGAGCTCGTATAGCTTAGACAGAGGGCCCAGAGTATCCAAAATCTTGTCCTGGCACCCTTTTAGGGAAAAGTCGCCCGACTTGTTCAAAAATTGGGCGATCTGTGGGTCAACCTCTGGGGTCTTTCAGGCCGAACCTGGGAGGGAAGGCCTGGGACATTCAGCGTGCAACTTATTGCGGCCCTCCTTAGACAGGGGGTTGCGCATACGCCTAGCAATATATTGGGCGATATGCCCTGGGGGTTCCCACTCGGCCGACCGGGGGTGGCGTAGGTCATCTGGGTCGGACAGGGGATTGCCCTGTGGATCCAACAGCGCAGCACCATCCCCGGCAGAGCCAGTCAGAAGACCCTGTGTATTGTAAGTGGTCCCAGAAAGGGCCACACCCGTAGGAGGCAAATCCTCCCCCGACTCTACCTCATCATAAGAGGTGTAGTCTAGCATGTCTGAGTCAGCCTCCGCACTCCGGTCGGTATCCGACCCTTCCTCATGGGCCCTAGCCTGTTTCCATAGTCTAGCCTTTTTAGCCCGTCCAGGGGCTCTTTTGCGCGTGGGAGGCGCGCCATCTGTGACCGCCTCAGGCGTGTCCATCATGGCAGGTAGAACCTGCATCGAGGAGTGGGAGTCAACATGCTTAGCCTTAGCTGTCGCCTTACGGGCTCCAGGCATGGTTGGGGCAGGCAGGCGGGTCCCGACATCTAGGAGGGCGGGGGCCACCAGAGAGGGCAAAAGCATAGCTTACAAGGACTGGGAAAATGAAGAGGACACCGCTCCCATGGCAGATGCAAAGGCTTTCTGCAAAGATGATGCCATAGTGGCATCTAATAGGGCTTGAAATTCTTGGGAGGCTACAGTACCCTCAGGATTATCATGGGCAAAGTCCTCAGCAAGGACCTCTGGCCCCTCAGTGACAGAGGGAGGGTGTGACTAGTGACAGAGTGAGGGAGGGGGTGACTAGTGACAGAGTTAGGGAGGGAAGTGGTGACTAGTGACAGAGTGAGGAAGGGGGTGACTAGTGACAGAGGGAGGGGGTGACACAGTGACAGAGTGAGGGAGGTGGTGACTAGTGACAGAGTGAGGGAGGTGGTGACTGTCACTAGTCACCCCATCTCTCCCTCTGCCACTTGTCACCACCTCCCTCACTATGTCACTAGTCACCCCCTTCCTCACTCTGTCACTAGTCACCACTTCCCTCCCTCCCTAACTCTGTCACTAGTCATCCCCTCCCTCACTCTGTCACTAGTCACACCCTCCCACTGTCCCTAGGGGTGACCAGTGACAGAGGGGGTGACTAGTGACAGAGTGAGGGGGTGACTAGTGAAAGAGTGAGGGAAGGGGTGACTAGTGGCAGAGTGAGGGAAGGAAGGGGTGACTAGTAACAGAGTGAGGGGGGTGACAGTCACCACCTAGTGACAGTCACCACCTCCCTCACTCTGTCACTAGTCACCACCTCCCTCCCTCTGTCACTAGTCACCACCTCCCTCTGTCACTACTCCCTCCCTCCCTCTGCCACTAATCATCCCCTCACTCTGCCACTAGTCACCCCTTCCCTCACTCTGTCACCAGTCATCCCCTCACTCTGTCACTAGTCACCCCCTTACTCTAGTGACAGAGTGAGGGAGAGTGTGACTAGTGGTAGGGAGGGAGTGACTAGTGACAGAGTGAGGGAGGAAGTGACAGAGTGAGGGAGGGAATGAGTGACTAGTGACAGAGTGAGGGAGGGGTGACTAGTGACAGAGGGAGGGGGATGACTAGTAAGGGAGGGACTAGTGACAGAATGAGGGAGGGGGTGACTAGTGACAGAGGGAGGGGGTAACACAGTGACAGAGTGAGGGAGGTGGTGACTGTCACTAGTCACTCCATCCCTTCCTCTGTCACTAGTCACCCCCTCCCTAACTCTGTCACTAGTCACCCCCTCCCTCACACTGTCACTAGTCACCCCCTTCTATGCCACTGTGTCACCCTATCCCTCCCTCTGTCACTAGTCACTCTCTCCCTAAGTCTGTCACTAGTCACCCCCTCCCTCTGTTACTAGTCACCCCCTCCATCACTCTGTCACTAGAGTGAGTGGGTGACTAGTGACAGAGTGAGGGAGGGGATGACCAGTGACAGAGTGGGTGACTAGTGACAGAGGGAGGGGATGACCAGTGACAGAGGGGGTGACCAGTGATAGAGGGGGTGACTAGTGACAGAGTGAGGGGGTGACTAGTGACAGAGGGAGGGGGTGACTAGTGACAGAGTAAGTGAGGGAAGGGGTGACTAGTGACAGAATAAGTGAGGGAAGGGGTGACTAGCGAAAGAGTAAGGGAGGGGGTGACTAGTGACACAGTGAGGGGGGGTGACTAGTGACACATTAAGGGGAGGTAACTAGTGACACAGTGAGGGGGGGTGACTAGTGACACATTAAGGGGGGTGACTAGTGACACAGTGGGGGGTGTGACTAGTGACACAGTGGGGGGTGACTAGTGACACAATGAAGGGGGTGACTAGTGACAGTGAGGGGGGTGACTAGTGACACAGTGGGGGGTGACTAGTGACACAGTGAGGGGGGTGACTAGTGACACAGTGAGGGGGTGACTAGTGACACATTAAGGTGGGGTGACTAGTGACACAGTGAGGGGGGAGACTAGTGACACAATGAGGGGGGTGACTAGTGACACAGTGAGGGGGTGACTAGTGACACAAGTGGGGGGAACAGTGACACATTGGAAGTGACACAGCGAGGGTGAGGGGGAGTGACTAGTACACAAGGAGACTAGTGACACATGGCGACTAGTGACACAGTGAGGAAGACTAGCGACACAATGAGGGGTGACTAGTGACAGAGTGAGGGGGTGACTAGTGACAAAGGTAAGGGAAGAAGGGGTGACTAGTGACACAGTGAGGGGGAGACTAGTGACACAAGAGGACTAGTGACACAGTGAGGGGTGACTAGTGACACAGTGAAGGGGTGACTAGTGACACAGTGAGGGGGGGTGACTAGTGACACAGTGAGGGGTGACTAGTGAAAGCGGAGTGACTCAGTGACACAGTGACCAGACCGTGAGAGGGTGACTAGTGACACATAGGGCATGACACAGTGACACAGTGAAAGAGGGTGACTAGTGACACAGTAAGGAGGGGTGACTAGTGACAAAGGGGGGGTGACTAGTCACAGCGAGGGTGACAAAGTGTGAAGGAGGGTGACTAGTGACACAGTGAGGGTGACTAGTGACACAGCGAGGGGGTGACTAACCGTGACACAGCTGGAGGGGGTGACTAGTGACACAGTGACAGGACAAAGGAGTGACAGTGACACAGAGGGGGGTGACTAGTGACACAGTGAGGGGGTGACTAGTGACACATTAAGGTGGGGTGACTAGTGACACAGTGAGGGGGGAGACTAGTGACACAATGAGGGGGGTGACTAGTGACACAGTGAGGGGGTGACTAGTGACACATTAAGGTGGGGTGACTAGTGACACATTAAGGGGGTGACTAGTGACACAGTGAGTGGGGAGACTAGTGACACAATGAGGGGGGTGACTAGTGACACAGTGAGGGGGGTGACTAGTGACACAGTGAGGGGGGGTGACTAGTGACACATTGAGGGGGGTGACTAGTGACACATTAAGGGGGTGACTAGTGACACAGTGAGGGGGGTGACTAGTGACACATTAAGGGGGGGTGACTAGTGACAGAGTGAGGGGGGAGGTGACTAGTGCCTACCTTTCTCTTTGCTGTCTAGTCTCCCTGGCTGCTGCTCCTTCCCGCTGATCAGGCTCTGTGTGAGAGGCGTAAACAGGAAGTGATGTCACTTCCTGGCCCGCCTCTCCCATCACACAGAGCCGCGTGGGACAGGAAGGAGACCTGGCAGAGAGAGCTGGTAAAGCTGCTGAGTCTCATTTGATGATGGGGGTGACTTTCAGAGCGGTAGGTTGTGGGGGCCCCACGCTCCATCAGGGGCCCCACAACCATCAATGAAATTGTTTTATTTTATTATTTTTTCGTTCCAGTTGGAGAGATCTCTGATCTCTCCAGCTGGAGCATGGCTGTGTGGCAGGGCCCCTGGCTGTCTCGGGCCCTCGGTCCATGACCGATATGCCCGAGTGGTCAGTCCTCCCCTGGATATGTCTATTAATGTTCTCCTATTTTCTCTGGTTGTGTCATATGTTCATCCTCAGCTCGTAGTGCCTGTAATGACAAATGCCTTTCTGGCATTGACTGAAGTGCCACTCAGCAGCCCTCTACCAGTGTATCTAACTCCTGCGGCATGTTGAAGGCCGCCAGCCGCTGCAGATCCATTCCAGTTTGTAACCCCACATCCACCCATAGTATTGATGACGTCAACGTGTGTGTGACGTCACGCAAAGGACGTGCACGCACGTTCTGGGGTTAAAGGCCGGGTAAGGCCAATCGGATCTGAAGGAGGCTTATTTAAACTCCTTTTTCCTTTTCCTCATTGCCCTGTCGTGGTTTCTCTTAGTAGGCTATGCGAGAGAGTGTTCCTGAGCGTTTATTTCTGGTTTTTGACTTTGGCTTCGTTTTGACTTCCCTGACTTCTGGTATATTTGACTTTTGGCTTTTCCCTCATCCCTCCATATCCCTGACCTCGGCAAGTATCCTGTAAGACGTTACCTTTAGTCCTTGGTGTGACACAATTCTGCGTGCTGGATCACCTAGTATCCTGACATTACGACAGGGCCATATATTCTGAGGAATTGTGTCAGCACACAGCAGCTTGCGAGAGAAAGCTAGAGGAGAATGATCACCGTATGGATCAAATTGCCCAAGCTTTTAGTACGCTTCTTACCCGAACAGCGCATCTACAGCCAGAGGTTTCACTGACTATGTCACCTCTGCCTAAGGTACCTCCTCATATAGTACATAAGGCACCTACTATCTCCCTATCTCCTCCCCCGCTTTTTTTTAATGGTATTATTCAAGATGGCGAGGGATTTCTGAATCAAATTGAGTACCACTTTGAAGCCTTACCTGAATCGTTTCCCTCAGATAGCGTTAAGATTGGTTACCTAATGAACCAACTAAAAGGTAAAGCCTTAGCTTGGGCCAATCCTTTATTGGAGAGTAATAGGAGTATTGCATACAACTTCCAGGAATTCCTTGCGGAATTCAAATTGACATTTGAACCACTGGGCAGGGAGAATGACGCTTCCACAGCCCTAATGTGTATCAAACAAGGGAACCGGTCTATCTCAGATTATGCCATAGAATTTCGCACCTTGGCTTCTGAGGTAGACTGGACTAATAGCGGGTTAATCTCTGCATTTAATAAAGAATTATCCAAGGCAATTATTGATGAAATTGCTGCCAAAGATCTACCTAAAAGGTTAAATGAGTTTATCACATTTGTTACGCAGATTGACAACAGACTTAGAACCAGAGAAAATACCAGAAATAGAACCAGACGTATGGCTATGTCACTGGCACCTCGTTTCTCCAGACCTGTTGTTCCTAACCTCTCTGTACAGTCCGAATTTGAACCTATGCAGTTAGGGGTCACTAGACTGTCAGAGGCAGAAAGACAATATAGGAGAAAGGAGGTCCTGTGTCTATACTGCGGTAAAAGTGGGCATATGAGGAGTACTTGTCCCATACAACCGGAAAGCTTTCGCACCGAAAAACCTTAAGGGAACAGGTCTTAGGTGTGATGGATACGTCCTATGATAATGACAAAAATAGATTTCTCCTTGATATTACCGCCCTTTGTAACAGGAAGAACTTTTCATGCAAAGCCCTGATGGACTCAGGTGCGGCAGAAAAGTTAATTGACATACTTTTTGTTAAAAAAAAATCAATTCCTATCAAGGAGAGATCATCACCTCTGGCCGTCGGGAGACCTCTCTCTTAACCCTTGATTACCCACGAAACCTTGCCTATTAACATTTCCATTGGAGCTTTACACAAGGAAGACATAACATTCCAGATAATTGCTTCTCCTTCTTGTCCCATCATATTAGGATTTCCTTGGCCCATTAAGCACAATCTTCATATTGACTGGGCAAATGGGGAAATACTGGAGTGGGTTAAAGACTGTTCTGAGAGATGTGTGATATCCATTACCAAAAAAATGGGCATTATTACTTTACCAACTACTACGCCTCAGTCCTCCGAAGTTCCCATACAATACTGGGAGGTTAAGGTGGTATTCAGTAAGAGTCAGACCAATATTCTATCTCCTCACAGATCTTATGATTGCTCCATAAATCTGTTACTCAAGGGGGCAGTGTATGCCTTATCCCCACAGGAGAGTAGAATAAAGAAAATCAAGAGTACATCAAAGATTCCCTAAGTAAGGGCCACATACATAAATAATCCTCGCCTGCTGGTGCAGGGTTCTTTTTTGTATCTAAAAAAGATGGTTAATTACGCCCATGTATTGATTACAGGGCACTAAACTAAAGATCACCATAAAGAATGCCTATCCCATTCCCCTCATTTCCGAATTGTTTGACAGATTCCAGGGTGCTAAAATCTTTACGAAACTTGACCTCAGGAGTGCATACAATTTGGTAAGAATTAAGGAAAATCATGAGTGGAAAACGGCATTTAACACTAGAAGTGGGTATTATCAGTACCTTGTCATGCCCTTCGGGTTATGCAATGCTCCGGCCGTATTTCAGGATTTTATTAATGATGTACTCAGAGACTATATTTATTCATTTGTCCTAATATACCTGGATGATATCCTTATTTATTCCCCTGACCTTCTGACTCACCACAAACATGTCAAACAGGTACTGCAAACCTTGCTTAAAAATAAACTGTATTGCAAACCTTGACAGACAGAGGTACAGTTTTTGGGGTCAAATATTTTCTCCTCTGGTTTTCAGATGGATCCTCATAAACTAGAGGCTGTTCTACATTGGCCATTGCCCAATGGACTTAAAGCTATCCAAAGGTTTATTGCGTTCTGTGACAGCCCCCATCACCAATATGACACGTAAGGGGGCTAGTTGTACG